CTGTTGGACCGGTCTGGATCTGTTGGACTGGTCTGGATCAGTTGGACTGATCTGGTTCTGTTGGACTGGTCTGATTCTGTTGGACTGGTCTGTATCTGTTGGACTGGTCTGGATCTGTTGGACTGGTTTGGATCTGTTGGACTGGTCTGGTTCTGTTGGACTGGTCTGGTTCTGTTGGACTGGTCTGATTCTGTTGGACTGGTCTGGATCTGTTGGACTGGTCTGGATCTGTTGGACCGGTCTGGATCTGTTGGACTGGTCTGGATCAGTTGGACTGATCTGGTTCTGTTGGACTGGTCTGATTCTGTTGGACTCGTCTGGATCTGTTGGACTGGTCTGGTTCTGTTGGACTGGTCCGGATCTGTTGGACTGGTCTAGATCTGTTGGACTGGTCTGGTTCTGTTGGACTGGTCTGGTTCTGTTAGACTCATCTGGATCTGTTGGACTGGTCTGGTACTGTTGGACTGGTCTGGATCTGTTGGACTGGTCTGGTTCTGTTGGACTGGTCTGGATCTGTTGGACTGGTCTGGATTTGTTGGACTGGTCTGGTTCTGTTGGACCGGTTTGGATCTGTTGGACTGGTCTGGTTCTGTTGGACTGGTCTGGATCAGTTGGACAGGTCTGGATCTGTTGGACTGGTCTGGTTCTGTTGGACTGGTCTGGTTCTGTTGGACTGGTCTGGATCAGTTGGACAGGTCTGGATCTGTTGGACTGGTCTGGTTCTGTTGGACTGGTCTGGTTCTGTTGGACTGGTCTGGATCAGTTGGACTGGTCTGGTTCTGTTGGACTGGTCTGGATCAGTTGGACTGGTCTGGATCTGTTGGACTGGTCTGGATCTGTTGGACTGGTCCGGATCAGTGTTTTGATGAATGTTTCAGATCAACACATCCTGCAGGAGCTGGAGAAGAAGAAGATCCTGGTCTTCACTCCGTCCCGTCGAGTTGCAGGAAAACGAGTCGTTTGTAACGACGACTCGTTCATCGTGAAGCACGCCTTCGAGTCGGACGGAGTGATCGTGTCCAACGACATGTTCCGGGACCTGCAGGACCTGAACCCAGACTGGAAGCGCTTCATCGAGGAGCGGCTCCTCATGTTCTCCTTCGTCAACAACAAGTGAGTTCCTGACCTGGTCCTGACTGACCTGACCCGGTCCTGACTGACCAGGTCCTGACTGGGTCCTGACTGACCAGGTCCTGACTGACCAGGTCCTGACTGTCCTGACCAGGTCCTGACTGACCTGACCAGGTCCTGACTGACCAGGTCTTGACTGTCCTGACCAGGTCCTGACTTACCTGACCAGGTCCTGACTAACCAGGTCCTGACTGACCTGACCAGGTCCTGACTGACCAGGTCCTCACTGACCAGGTCCTGACTGACCTGACCAGGTCCTGACTGACCAGGTCCTGACTGACCAGGTCCTGACTGACCTGACCAGGTCCTGACTGACCAGGTCCTGACTGACCTGACCAGGTCCTGATTGACCAGGTCCTGACAGTCCTGACCTGGTCCTGACTGACCAGGTCCTGACTGACCTGACTGACCAGGTCCTGACTGACCAGGTCCTGACTGACCTGACCTGGTCCTGACTGACCAGGTCCTGACTGACCTGACTGACCAGGTCCTGACTGACCTGACCAGGTCCTGACTGACCAGGTCCTGACTGATCCTGACTGACCAGGTCCTGACTGACCAGGTCCTGACTGACCTGACCAGGTCCTGACTGATCAGGTCCTGACAGTCCTGACCAGGTCCTGATAGCGTCCTGACCGACCGGGTCCTGACCAGGTTCTGATAGTCTTGACCGGGTTCTGACCAGGTCCTGACAGTCGACCTGCTCATCAGGACCAGGTCTCACTCAGACCTTTGTTCTGGTCCAGGTTTATGCTTCCTGATGACCCCCTGGGCCGACACGGGCCCACCCTGGACAACTTCCTGAGGAAGTTCCCCAAGACCCAGAAGAAGCAGGCGTGTCCTTACGGTGAGACCCTCAGGACCTGATTGTTGTCTCGTCTCAGACGTCTTCAAGGTTTTGTCTCCGTCTTTCAGGGAGGAAGTGTACCTACGGGACAAAGTGCAGGTTCCTCCACCCAGAGAGGACCAGGCAGAGACCGCCTGCCGTCCCAGAACCCAGTCTGGTGGACGACATACCCAGGAAGCTGTCCCTGGGACCCACGTCCTCAGAGAGACATGGACACGTGGGTCAGAGCCGGCAGAACCAACGTCCCGGCAGGAAGTCTCAGACCAGGAAGGACAGGACTAGCCAGCAGTCGGACCACGTCTCGCTGAAGGACCACGTCTCCATGGGGGTCCAAGGCTCAGAAAAGGACAGGATGTCTCAGGATCAGCTGGACTCTGGTTTGGGATCCATGGACAGTCAGCTGGAGTCCACGTGGAGCCATCATCAGTCTTACAGTAGAGTCCAGAAGGACTTCTGTCCTCCCAGCAGTCCACCCTGCAGCTGCTGCTGTCCCAGTCCCTTCCAGCCCCCCGGCCTCGTCCCCAGGACTGATCTGTCCCCCCACAGTCCCCGTCCTTACCCGAGCTGCTGCATGGTCCCGCTCAGTCAGCACGGCAGACTGCACCCCCAGCGCCTGTTCTGGTCCGACCCGGTCCGTCCCTCGGAGACACACGTCCAGCCGGGGCGGCTCTCGCTGTGGGACCGTCCCCCGAGTCCCGGCGGGACGGAGAGGGCTGTCGTCAGGAAGAACCTCCTCGCCATCTTCAGCGCCCAGCAGGTGGACGCAGTCATGAGCAGGTCCCCGGACCAGCTGGACCCCCAGAGACTGGTGGCAGACATCCTGATGCTGCAGAACCAGAACRGGTCTCTGAGATGAGTCCGGTCCAGGGACAACATGAGTCATTGGTCCTGTGGTGTCCTCGCTGTCCCCACACTGACCAGGACCTGAGTCCTGGTTCTCCAGTTTTATTTGGTTTCTGTCGTGGATCTGGGTCCATCAGAACTGAATCCTGGTTCTTATTGTCCTCCTGGACTCATGTCTCCCTCGCTGAGCGTCGAGTTCACCTGGAGCTGAACCTGACGTGACGCATTATGACTTCAATTCTTTTAACAGTGGGTAAACTAGCTTCACTAACGCTAATCTGCTAATCTGATAAACAATAATCTGCTAATCTGATAAACAATAATCTGACCTGCTAATCAGTTAAAAAAATTGTGGAAGTTAACGCTAACCTCTAAGATGACTGGTCAGTTTTTAGCTTTCTGTTGGTTATAATCTGTCTAACTTCTACATCCAGTTTAACCCTTTCAGAATAAAAGCATTTCTTTGATCAAGTTTGAAGTTAATCAAACAGTACATATTATACATATTTTATTTGTAGTTTGAATTTTTATATTCATTATTTAAATGTTGTTAAATGTTTTTTTGTTTTTTTTGACGCTCTTATTTTGACGTTTGGCTGCTAAAGATGCTACATGCTACACACACGGTGCCTTCTAGCACTGCTTGAAAAACTGATGCTTTTTATTGAATTTGGTTTGAATGGCATAAACATTTTTTGAGTGGACTTCAACTTAGCAGAACCTATTTTAGCAGAAGGTAATCGTTTGTTTTCAAAGTTAGCAAAAAAGCTAATCCGCCAAATGAGAAGCTAGTTCCTCTGTTAGATGAGTTGTCTTCTGCAGGTAACATTCTGATGACTGATTAGTACTCCACATCACCTCACTTTAAGATAACTTAATTATCACTGGCCCTTAATACAGAGCTTTTATTTTGGTAACTTACAGGAAACTGACCGCTCATGAGTTCTGATGAAATAAATCAGATGAATTATTGACTGATTATTGTTTCTATTAAATCATCACATTTAAGATGAATCATATTCTGATTTATAAAACTTTAAATGTTCTTTTTGTGCTGTAAAATTATCATTTTCTCTAGTGTAGTGGTCACCCTGGGTGGAAT